GGAGGACGGTCTTAGGAAGTAGGGTAAGTAGAAAAGTAAAACTTTCATATAACTAGTAAATAGTACTAACGTTTCGACGAAGGTTTTGTCATCATCAGGTACATTCTTCATTACCCATTCAAGCCGTCTCCAGCCATTATTATATTCAAAGTATTTTTGGTAGAGTAGTGTATTTTGGACTATGTTTTATTATATTTATTTATTTATTCATTAATAATCAATGGTGTTTTACATTTCTCATAAGAGATTAACGCAAACTTCAAGTTGTGCTTTTACTCATTAATACGCTATTGTAAACAGTATTTGTTGATCAACAGATTTTTTTTATATAATAATGAGAGTTAATCTATACATTTTCAGCCCTCTTGTGTGGATACTCTATCACTAGGTATCTGTTAACTCGTACAAAAAAACATATTCCTGGAAAATTTAGACTTTATCAAGCATTGCACGACACGTTTCAACAAAATGGAATATCGCGAATGAGAACTTTGGTAGTTAGCTCAGTTGAAGAAGAAGAGCAATTCAAAATTCGTGAGTTTGTTTAATTGCAAATCCGAAGTCTATGTTAAACCAACAGAACTCAGCGACACCGCTTCAACACAAATTATAATTCTCATACCATTTAATCATTTATTGATTCATCATTATTACCTTGATACCACTTAATTTAACTAGGCTTCCTCTTCGATAAGAAAAAAAAGTTTATTTAATAGTATATGATTTTAGTTGGAAGTAGAATGTTTTCTTACTGCAACATATTTCTGTTTCATATTTTGCTTAGTTTTATATAGCAACCTGGCCCAGCAGAAAAAGTGCATTTTATTTACGAAAGATACGAAAAACAGGTAAAATAAACGTTTTTTTTTAAAGGAATGATTGAATACATCATAAATATCATTCCGTTGAAGAATATATTGCTTCATGAAATGTATTACAAATCAGTGAATTACAGATTAGGTTTATTATGTATGTTCTGTAAATATATATATATCCGTCCTCTTATGTCAAATGCACTGTATTTTTTCCATCAAAATAAATACTAGTAGACTCATCTATTCAGGCGGGGTTTAACGACTCCTTTGCGTTTCTCTTCTTTCGATATATGTATGATAAACAACAAAGATTTACTGAGAGCGAAATGAACATTAAATTAAGAAAAATATAAGCTCTCATTTTAGAAAGATTTTTATCTACTTTACATAAAAAACAAAAACAATAATGTTTATAACTAATATTTTAATAGCTTAATTTTAATCACGGTTGTCCCCCGATGGGTCAACGGAAATTTTACAGACTAACAAAGCTAAAATCCGGCGTTCGATTCCCCGCGGTGGACAAAGTGTAAGTATACCATCATGTACCTTCTCACTAAGAAAACAAAAACAAAGAAATTAATCACTGTTTCGTTTTTCATTTTTAACAGTTGCAGTAGGAAGAAGCAGAAGCACACCGGGGTTGGTCGAATCTCGGGGCAAAGTGCCAATAGAAGAAATGCAGGTGGCGCCACGAGATCCTTCCGCGTCTGCTGCATATCTTCTAACGGATGATGATCATCAGAAGACGACCACAATACCTCTTTCTCAAAGTGGCGTCCGAGCAACAACTAGAGCCAGTAGTAGTAAAAGCAGCAGTACAGAAACAGATATCAGGCCTCATAAGACGTTGGAGCCAATACTTCCAATTATTCACACCCCTCAGTCTCCGAAACCGACGCCCACTCGTTCTTTCTTTACCAACGTTTCTAAGGAACGGAAAAAGGGCCTTGGAGGAGTGTCTTCAGCAAATCTCCTTTCTCTTCGCCCTTCTTCACCCTACTTCGTCCATTCCCCAGCTTCTAACACGTTAGATGTGTCTCCTATTACAGACTACTCAGCATTAAGCCCGGCCAGTCTAGACCAAGTATTTTTCGGTGGTCCTACATCCCACTCGAGCCACCTTTCTGTTCCATCACCGATGCTGAGAGGTAGTGGCAGTGTAAGCCCCATCAGTGTCAATACTTCTCGTGAAAACCACCAGGAAGCGTTAGTAGCTGAAATCAAACGTCTTCGAGAGCGCCTTGTGACACTAGAAACTGAGAATGCTTCCCTGAATATGAAACTGAGTCAGCAGCAATGGCAAGTAGAAAACAGGCTTGCCGAAATAGAGCTACAAATTTGTGGCACTGGACGAGGCGCTAGTAGCGCTAGCAATGGGAGTGAAGATGACAGCGAAAGAAATCGAGAATCTGTTATATAAATATCGTGATAATGTATTTCATACGTTGCCTACACTGTTAATATATCTTTAATATCTAAAACCATGAAGTATCTGTTCGGTGTGTAATTAATTACAATGATCTACAAGAAAAAAATGCATATTTTTACCAATGGGTTAGCCACAAAGATGCTGCATTGCAAGGAACTATTCGGAGTTAAGTTGAGTTAAGCCTACTTCACTCTCTAATATGTGTAGCATTTTCGTATATTATCGTACAGCTTTCGTAATTTTTCCAGTAATAACATATTTGATATTCTAGTGCTTGCATTTTACTTTTTTAAAATAAAAATAACGGCTTGTCCAATACTAAAATGTATGCCAGCAGAAAATCATAAGCCAAGTCTTATTTCCAAAACATCAGTCGTTTAGACAATCCTTTACATCTACAATTCAAATGTAATAACATTTGTAGGATAAGAAGGGTTGTTCAAATACTGAGTTAATGTGTGTGTGTTATTTTTAAACCATTGTATAGGTTTCAATTATATTTTATTCATATTATGCATTACTTATGTATCATAAATTTTACTCTATTAAACCGAAACCAAAATCCCATTATAGGTATAACTGTGGAAGATGCGTGATGTAAACGTGCATGCACCATCTATAAACATGGATTATACTATGTTGTATCTATTATAATCGTTAAGTCATTCAAAAACACTACAAACTCAGGAATAATTATCATATATATTTAAGGTTTGGGGTTTTTCATAATCAAGATAAATCAGCAAATCTTTGCTAGCAGAGAGTTCTAAGGTATGAAAAACAAAAGTTTATATTTCTGATATCAATACGGCATGTTTTATTATATGTCCAAAAAGCTCGAAATTTAAATGAAGAAATTAACAAAAGATTTAGGTCTCTGTAAGTTCAAAGCTGTAGAACTAATATCAAAGTGTGTTATTTGATTTACCCAGCAAGTAAAATCTATCATTCCTTTTGTACTTTTGTATTCATTGCGTATTTCATTCTCAATTTTCACCATGCAAAATTGTGATATAACATTAATGCTAATTTTGGATAATAGTTTTAACCGATTGTATAACATACGGCGTAATTAAGCGCCATCTTTATGAGATCCGATTATACTGTCTAAAGCAATTTGCCTAACATATACTAACATATTCACGTGAACACTGACTGAAACTGAAAGCTGATTTTTTTGTGTTTGTGTGATGATTCCGATTTCGAATTACTTCATAACTTTCCTACCTCTTATACTAAGATTAAAAAAAATCTAATTTTAACCTTGCAAAATTTGTTTTGTGTGTGTTTATTTTCCCCAAATACTCCTTAATAGAATATTTGTTTTTGTTCTTGTTTTAGTGCAGCTTTGAACATACGCTATGTTTAAACACAAAAAAGTTGTCCTAAAAACTTATAAGTGAAACTATATAATAAAATGTAATAATATGCCAACCATACTACATCTGCAATATACAGTGCCGATGAAACCTTTCATACATTACCAGGGCTTGAAACCTAGTAGTGGTCTAGGTGTTTTTTATATCATGTTTCATGAACCATAACTGTTATGATGTGAACTACGTTAAGTAAATTAATTGTAATTTTTATTAAGTTGCTCACAGTTCAAAATCAGGTATAATTATTATTTACACTTTAACGATATTATCAATCTGAAACATTACTTTACACTTGTAACAGTTAGGCTTCCAGTGCAACTTCGGCCTTGGAAGCATAAAAGTTAGTCTTAACTGCTGGTAAAATAATTGTGTATTATTTCATACCTAAATTCTCACTGGTTTATATTTTGTCACAATCAGGTAAAATAGTCTCACGATTATCACGTTTCCAGTTGAAGAAAAGCAAATTTAGACTTTTTTAATTGAATTTTTTGTTGCTTTTTTAATGAAACTCAAGGCTAATTCATATAGCGTGAAACTAAACCAACATGTCATAAAAACGCGACAAAAAACTCAATATACAATGCTCTACATGTTTTTTAATTTGAAAGCACTCCTAGTACTACTATGTATCGAACAGTCTAAGACTAATTTAAAAAAAAATAGGCAAACTTTATAAAACCATGAAATATTTTATAACCAATCATAAAGAAATACCCTACAGTGTAATTTATTCTGGCTCAAGAATAAAAAATAACCCATATTTTATTTGTCTTTGATAAACAATTCTAAATCCATGGTTAATAGTAGACAAACTTATGATTACAAATTGGATTAAGAAAAAACAGGAGTGAATAATATAATCATTATTGCATTTAGTTGTAACATTTAATTCAATTCTTTAGTGTATACAAAAAATATGTTTACAGAAATGAAAATGAACAACAATATTATGCCTGTAGGTGCTTTCAAAGTGTTTTTGTTTGCTCATCCTACTGCTGACTATCGTTATGCTTCGACCTTCCCTACTGAATCGCAGGTTAAATCGTTCGTATTTCAATTGAAATATAACCATAAAAATGTGATAGCAAAAGCATAAAAGGTTGGCAATTGCTTAATTAATGATGTTGCGAATGTGGCCTTATTGATATATACTGGATTTGCTCCCAGCGAGTAGACCTTAGTACTAACTAGCATGGAGACTTGAGGATGCTGTATTTCATTTAAAAATTTATAAATTAACAAACGAAAACTTGTCTCGAAATGGTACGACCAAAACCACTGTCTTTGGGAGTTCCCGGATTGAACTTATTTTTAATATTCAACAAACTGTAGTGCAAAGACACCCCTTGGCTCCTGAAGAACGTGTTAAAAGTATTTAAAAATGACGAACAATATAAAATCAAATAATCAATAACAGCGGAAAAAGTTATATTAATCTAGTCGTTCACTGAGATCACACGTGTAACTAAGAACTCAAAATATTCGAATTTTTGATTAACCAGTCGGACGCCTAAGTTCTAAATGGAGACATGTGGTTGGTGTTAACGATTAGATTATATTACAGCTAGTGCCAGTTACACGATAAACAAACATTATATTCTCCTAAACGATAAAGGCAAGTCTAATCAAGGTCAGGGAGTCATTCCACCCAACTGTGTAGAAGTCAAAATCATTATAATGGTGTCAGACCTATGAAATCATTTGAACCCCTTCAGCGACTACTATCGAAAAATCGATAATGCGCATTCCCCGTCACTATACGGCTTGCGCTAAGTTCACAGGGTTGCCTATCAACTCAAGTCATTTTTTACCACCCCACTCCTACACACGAATCGTTGCACATAAGGTGGCTGATAAGTCTTTGTAAAGTTGATATATATATAAAGTTTTGTTACATACACAGAAAAAAAAGTGTCACAAGTTCTTCATAAGTGGTGTATTAAAGTCAATTTTCAATTCAATGCAAACACAGCTGCAGTTGATATAGTAATTATATCCCACACATATTAGAAACGGAATTGAATACCAGTAAACATTAAGGTTCAACATTTCCACAATTTTGTTCTTGTATGACTGCTGGATAAAGCTGCAGTATCTTGTTAAAACTGTGTAAAAGAGTTTCCATTTCACGTTCGTAAGAAGTACATGCGCTCTTTGCATCTACCCCTGAACGAACTTTGCAGTTCTATATATGCTTACTTTTTAATAGTCTCGAGCTGTAAATTGGCAAAGTCGAAGGAACAGTCCTAATAGACTATACATTTCTTTAATCTTTTACATTACAAGATTTAATATTTATGTTAGCAGATATGTGTACAAAAGATAGATGGTACAGAAATAGATATACTTGCCTAGGTTGGTCTATATGTAACTACCGTGATCAAAACTGAAATTTAAAGACATGCTTTCAGGACTGTTGCCAGTACGTTTTCACACAAGATACAAACAAATCGTGTAAAAACTACCTTATTACAACCGTAAAAATTATAAAAAAGTGTCCAATATTTAAAAACATACTTGAATAAAACAGTCCTATAATCAATGGAACATTAATACAGGGAGTATCTCTTAGAAGTTGCACGCCATCTATCTTACGAAAACGGAATGTTTCTGCTACCAACTTGAAGGATAGTTAGCGATAAAACTTGTATTCTTTCTTTACCTCGATTTAATTTTACCAAGAAAAGTGTAACTAATCTTTAAGTGCCTACTCCTGTTTACCTACTGCGAATGACATTAAAATAATTTTAGAACTTTATCAGAATAAGAACCAATTCAAATTGAAAGTAAAATATATCGCTTGTGTTAGACAATAATCACAGTTCTACGTTTGCATTAATATGTAAATTATCACCATTCTGATGTCAATATATAGATCTCCGATATAGGTATTTTCAGGTGTTTGATAGATAGATTGACAAGCTTTCGTTAAACTTGAAATTTCAGCTCTGTGCTACGTAAAGCTAAAATTATGTGGGAAATTACTAGTATATGAGTGAATAAATAGGATTCTATTGTAAAAACCTTAGTCTACAAAGTTTCTATATAGTTCTACTCGTACTTCAGGAAGATAAAACGTTCCCTAACTTTCCTTTTCAGATTGATTCATACACTTGTTTATAAAGATTATGAAACACATCTCGTCTCTTCTATTACGTAAAAGTGTTTACGTTTTTATTACAAAGTTTAGAAACACTTATATGAAGTACTTTACGATCTAAGCTACTTACTTTTTTTTTTATACAGTACTAAGAAACATTCGTGCCTATTGCTACCAGTACATATTTGGAGTATAATTAAAATGGATCTGGTTTGTTTTGAATTTAGCACTCAACTACACGATGGCTATCTGCGCTAGCCGTTCCTAATTTAGCAGTGAAAGACTAGAGTGAAGGTAGCTAGTTATTACCAGCCACCGCCAACTCTTGGTCTACTCTTTTACCAACAAGAATAGTGGAATTGACCGTCAAATTATAACGCCCCCACTGAAAGGGCGAGCATGTTTGGTGGGGATTCGAACCCACGACCCTCTGATTGCGAGCGGACAGCCCTAACCACCTGGCCATGTCAACCCTATTTTATATAGACTGGTAGCAATACGTACGAATGTTTCTCAATACTGTACAAAAGATTAACTGTAAAGAACACACAAAACTAACCGCAGACACGAATCATCCCCACTGCACTATGTGACAGGCATTAATTAAACAAGACTTCAGACCACCATTTAGCGGAATTATCTTTAAAGAAAAGAAAAAATATATACCGCACAGAAGGATTGGGCTTTCTGTATATTTAACAAACTACGTACTAACAATAAGTTGTTTGGTATCTAACATCTTGTACAATAGTAAGAATGATTAAACAGAAAAGTAAAACTTCTAATAAATCTTAAACCTTTCCTATTAAGTAGCCCAACAATGATTTAAAATAAGTATTTAAAGTACTTGAATCTGTGCGTCGGTAATGACGGAGCTTATCGTTTAATATCACAACTCATCAAGCTGGCTGAAACATTATTTACATAAGTCGTTTAAGAGAAAATCTGAGGTGTTATTATCTTTCTCAGAGCGATGCAAGTGCATTTCTCAAAACGTGTTTGGCTTAGAATGGACCACACGGTATCTGGTAAGGTAGGACGGACTAAATAACCATTTATCTTTTTAAAGAAAATACATAAAGTGGGTATATCAACTCTTAGTTAGTTTGTTTGTAATTAAGCACAAAGCTACACAATGGGCTATCTGTGCTCTGCCCACCACGGGTATCGAAACCCGAATACTAGCGTTGTAAGTCCGCAGACATACCGCTGTGCCACTGGGGGGCATCAACCCTTAGTACAGTGCATGATTATGGAACATCACGCATTTCAACTTTTTTTTTTTTTTACTAACGACTTGCTACAGCGATTTACGTCAAAGTTAAGAAGTCAGATCCATAGCTTGCAAACGTAAAATCAGTAACTTTTTCATATAATTCAAGAACAAGACCGTTGTTAACCCTGTTAAACTTTCTAGTATTTATCAGGCTGTACCAAGTTTTTAACAAAATCTTTGACACTTTAATAATTGGCCAGTATGTAAGCTATCGTTTCTCCTTTAGATGTTGTAAGATATCAGCTAAATATTCTATGCCTTACGGTGAACATCACAAGCACGATATTAATACGGAACTTTGAAATAAACAGAACACCCCGTAAAATCGCAGTAAATAGTGTTTTCATTATTGTGTTTTACATTGTCAAAATAAACTTCTACTACGCGGTTTCACAATAACATAGTTCTGCGATTTTTGGCAGCGCCGGCTTTAATTATTTTACTGTCGTGGGCATATAGATGTCTACCTGATAAGCACTACCATGGACACATAATATATAGCCTTTGTTTTAGCCTTAAACAGAGATATGACCCAGGAGGAAAGAATATTGCTCTTCAAGCTTCCCAAAGTTTACCAGATTCAAGATTTAAATACGTAATGAAATATTAAAATTTCTTTTTTTTGTGAGAATCTAAAAATAAACCTGGCACTGAGAGAGTTCATAATCTATAAAAGTACACGTGAAAGACATGGGAAGGGTATAATTCTAAGAATCCATGAGTAAAAATAAAGGATAATATGTCAATCAATCACATTATAACTGCTATAAAATTATAGTCCACTACTATCCTGACAACTAGCGAGGGTTTTAGGACTTATTCGCCACGAATATTAAGTCACATTGGATGTCTTTTATTTTCAAGTACTAAACATCACATATTTTGTTGCACTTTTGCGGAAAATAAAAGTACGAAATACACTTTAATTTTAAATGTTATTTTTAATTTACAAATCCTCAAGCAGCTGCTGATCTTGTCCAGACCCAAATCCCACACTGAACTTTCGATCAAGATCAGATATATAACACGGGTATGATAACTTTCATTCACTTTTTTTTTGACACCCGAGCTGTGTTTTTATTCCACCGGGTTTCGAGTTGCCACAACAGAAATATTTGTAGCAGCAAATCACGTCTGTTCAGGCATAAAGCCTAAAATTCAATCAAATTTCTTAACGAAAAAAAAATACGAGTAAATCAATGTTCGTTGCAAACAGGATGAGTGTATATTAAGAGTTTTGTGATCTGTATGTGCACACACACACACATTTCACGTATACAATCGATTGATGGAAATGTATAGCGTGACTTAGTTTAAAAAAAAATTCCGAGTATTTTTTTACCACGTTATAATGAAGCTTCCCCTAATATATATGTAAAATTTATTTCAGTTAAAGGTTTCTGGTCTATAGCGCTATCTAGCGGTAATTATACAACCGCATATCATCTATATATATACATATATATTACAAAAACTTGCATAACTGAATGTAAACATTTATACAAATAAGCCTAAAATTCAGTATACTTTCCCTAGTTCTCACGATATTACGTGTATACGCAAAATATATGTAGACAAAAGATTTTTTATTAATTTTTCGAGAAAACCATATACACCAGAACACCGCCAAATGTTGTCAAACAAGAGAACCATGCGTTATATACTAAGCTCTCAAATGGTACTCTGTCGTCATGAAAGTTTGCATTCTTTTAATATTATTGACTAAGTAAAATGAACGTTCTGACCCAAGGAACTGGTGCTATATCGGTTCACACAACACATGGCGAAATATAGTCTGACCGTACTTCCTGTTAAATCTCCAGGCCGCAATGTTTGAATGTTCACCCAACTTGTAAAATTTTCACAACGTATAAAGTTCACACCATTAATGGTTTTTGCTGTGAAAGTAAAGTAAAATATTTAACTACTCAGTTGTGGATTTTATTATTAAAAGAAAAAACCCTATGGACGGCACTAATTGTTTATCAATGTAACATGTAATTAGCAGTAACTTGCATTTAGATTTTTTCCATAAAAATCTTCCAAACTCAGCAGCTGAAATACCAAACCGTGTCTTGAGGAGCGTGGGTGTATTCTAATACTGTAGCTCATAATCTTTGCAACTGTTATAAACTCTGGTCAAACTTTCATATAAATATAAAATAAAATTCATTCTTAAATTCTCAAATACGATTCTAGAGCATCAATACTGAAAACAGAAGACAACTTCATAATGAAAATATAGTTAACTGGGTACAAACGTATGGGTTATTGTTGATATAAGTAAGGTTTAGTTATTGATAGTTAACTGGGTACGGACGTATGGGTTATTGTTGATATAAGTAAGGTTTAGTTATTGATAGTTAACTGGGTACGAACGTATGGGTTATTGTTGATATAAGTAAGGTTTAGTTATTGATAGTTAACTGGGTACGAACGTATGGGTTATTGTTGATATAAGTAAGGTTTAGTTATTGATAGTTAACTGGGTACGAACGTATGGGTTATTGTTGATATAAGTAAGGTTTAGCTATTGTTTACAAATTTCAGTTGTATTCATTAGAATCACGAGATATTCAAGATTATTTCATTCTTAAGCTTAAACCAAGGAATTCAGACGCAACTAATGTACTAAACCATAATATGAAATAACTTAATGTGTGACACGTTAATGAATATAACTTAGTATACCTTAAAAAATTTGGTACCACAAAGATACAAAATAAAGAATGCACATGTGTACAAACTATATAAGCCACTATATAAGTGAAGCTATCTTAAAAGTTTTCGCAATATCTATCCATTTATCAGTTAAATGTACGTTTCTCAGCGATCCTATCCACTATCAGACTTGCACATCATTATATATTTTTTTCATAATGTCCTATTGATTCATAAGTGTAAAACATGAATAGTTTAATCAAATGTACGTTTCTCTGTAACCTGAGCCACTTTTGAGACCTACACAAAATTATTCTAAGTAACTATATCTTTTCATATAATCGTATAATGTATTACAACTACACCTTAAGTCTAGTTAATTATATTTCTAAACTTATAAAAACTGTAACATCAGTCAATTTCATTGTACGTATTTAACCATTTATTAGTTCAATTTACTGATATATATATCCATTAGTAAACTTTATTAATGTGTCAGAAATACATGTCAAAAATTATACTTGATCACTGTGTTTTATTTTAAATTTCTTAAGCCATTCTATCATGCTATTATGTTATATATTTTACTCTACGTCTTACACAAGTGCTTGTTATAATCTGTATAGCTTGCTCATCCTTTCACTAAACTGTTAACCCTAAATATACAAATTCCACCTGGTTCTTACACAAATGTTTCTGAATTATTTACGCACTAAAGTGCTTGTGGGCCAATGTGTCACCCAAAATTACAATTAATCCCACTAATTACTGCTGGGGTACCCTATGTATTTTTACACAGAAAATGAGTAGGTGAGTTTACAAACATTTTTTTTAGTCAATTCTTTAAACTGAATGTTGTGACAAGTAAGAATACAATTATTCAAGGAGACAAGATATGTGGAACACACCAGTATTAAGCAGAACAAAAATAAGTCGGTAATTTGAAGATTGAGTTATATTTCAACAGTTCATTTTTCTCAATCTTTAACCATAGTTAATAAGACCAGTTTACTGATAATACTCACTGTATATACAGGTCAGGCAACCACTTTTCAGAATCTTAACTCATAAATCTAATTTCCTGATTAAATACCCTGACTTATTAAAATTTTCAACTATACTATCAGAACATCAGAAATTGAATTATTACCAAATAAACTTTTAATGCTCTTTATGTAAACCAGCTAACAAAAACTTTTTTTTTTTACATTTTCCAAAGTGAAAAACTTGTAACAGATTTTGTCAGTATTTCTTTTGGTTTACTTCAGATTAAACAACAGTTATCAAGACATTCACAAATTATATTTACACAGAAAACTAATTTTATATAAAAATGTTTATTGTCTGAAAACCATTTAGTTTTCTGGGGTATTGTGGGTCTTCAGCAAATCTCTCTATAAACCACCTATTTGAACTGTAGGTCTAAGAAATTTCTAAGTAAGTAGTGACTACAACAACTATAAGCTCATCTCACTTCAAAAAGGAAATTAGACAAAATGGCTTAACTGTCAAAAATCAAAAATAAGCTATCCTGGTACATTAAACACTAAGGAAAAATAATTCAAGATTTAATGTTTTTGTTAAATACATTAAAGATGAAACAAATTATTTGCAAAATATTTTCTTATTTCATCTTTCAACATTTTGTCTGAAGAAATGAAACTCAAAAGTATAAAAAAATGTTTAACATATACATATATATGTTATTAGGACTAAATCATGTACTGAAAATATAATTAAGCTTTCAGAAAAACAACTGAAAATATATTGAACACTTAAAAAACAAAAACGAAATTCCATAAGTACAATACATTTTCACATTTTCTTTAATATCACAAAATCATCATACAGATTTTTGAAAAGTCTGTGAATATTTCTCGTTTTCAGTGGTTGATGTTGAACTGCTGTTCATTCAGTTCACAAAATTTTTTTCTTATAATTGATCTAAAATATGCATCTCATGCTGGTTGATGTAATAAAATGTGTACTTCCTTCTCCTGTCCATATGGCATACTGTTTTAATGTTGTAAGCTCATTGTTTATTTAGATAAGTAATTCACAAGAAATTTTATAAAAAGTATTTATACATATTTTTGTGCATTTTTATTTTACAACAACTTTCTGATTTTGAAGGATCAACTTTGAACTCAAGACATTCTACAAATTACATAAATGTCCATCTGAATATCACTTATCGCATAGATATTTCTTTACACTTAAATAAAAAGTAAACTTCACCACTGCAATTCTGTGCTTATGTCAGTGTGAAGGAAGTAATGCTTTACTCATTAAGTATTAAAGTAAACCTGTCTTTAGGGTAACAAGGATAACTAGTGTGGATACACACAAACAAAGATTATATTCTTGTAGTGATCTCGTCAAGAGATTACTTGTGCTAGTCTCAATTACCTACAAGTGTCTGTATAAATAATTTAGTTGCCAAACTTAATCTTCAATATTACGAGGAAGACGAATCTCCTGGGTAAAACATTCAGTCTCCCACTGTTTTAAGCAGCTAATTATGATTTATTCAAACCTAAGATTTCTCGCTTTCCTAACTCAATTAGTGACACTTCTATCAGACCGAGAAGCTTGAAGATAATGATGTAACCACATTTCTTTGAAATCTCTATTGTACGAGCACATTTAAGGAGGTTTTCTAGAACATAATTAATAATTAAATTTACAACATGCTACAATAAACATAAACTTTATAAATTCACAATTATTTCATTATACACAAACATAGTATATTTCAGCTTTAAAAAAACCGTAACTACTCTTCATTTTTTAAGCTTCAGCTGTATGAAATTTCAAAATTATTGTTTTGAGAGATTGAGACTTCTTATACACAGAGTAAAAAGACAGCAATGTTTTTTACTTCAAAACAAACTATAAAAAAATAGCAGACAAGCACAAACAGTTGATTACAGGTATTTACTGGTAGCAGGCCCCAAGGATGCACTCTTTACTTTCTTCCCTAACATAGGAGTCACTGGAAGACTGGCTGTGCTAGTTGCCAAAGATGAGTTCCCAAGTTCCTGTAAAAAATAGGCAAAGGACTATTAGATCTTATTGACTACTTGTACTTTATTTGTTAAAACACTACACAATACAAAATCAATGTATACTGTTGACATGCTGTTAATTTAACATGTAACATTATGATTAATGTTAGACACTAAAAAGGTAAGTACAGCTCTCTATTTTCACGTAACTTCACACACACATTTACCAAAAAAACAAAGAATATATAATACTATAAGACATGACAAATTTCATTATGTGCTTTTTGATGAAATTTTCACCCTTAACTCTGTCAGCATGGGCTTGGTACCTGGGACTGACCTTGTAACCATTTTGTGCTGGTTATAGTTTCATGCTGTAACTTTTAAATTATCAAGCAAGTGTTAATAAAATTTGGCAGATTATCAATAAACACTACAATGCTTTCATATGCAAAATATAATTTGTTTTATAAAGTCTTAAGGTTTGTAAAGCAATGTTTTTCTCATGCCTTTTTTTTCTTTTTGCATGTTGCCTATCTATCATGCAAAGTAATTTTCATTTTAAGATTAAAAATAATTTTATGCATCAGATAATTTTCAAATTTCACATGCGAATTCTTTATAATGTCCAGATAGTTATCAAATGTTTCTTAAGAG